TATTAGCTTGTCGGCGAGCGAAAGTTAACTTTCAGATACGGGATTTTCCTGCTGTTTTGCTCCATAGCTAACAGTTCGTTTTCATATTTTATTGGGATTTTGGATCCGAGTTTTTGCTGAAAAATTGAAATGAAACGTGACATTCTGTCCCAATACGTATATATCAAGGATGCATGTTTCATATTTTAGGGCTGCATAGGATTTTTTGCTCTTTACCGCGAAATAAATGTTGGTATTATAGCTCGTAACCAATCTCTACACCTGAAAACACTAACAGTGGTGGGGTAAATGCGATAACAAAAAAAAAAAGGAAATGAAAAGTTCTCATTTATTCGTACAATAAAAGTGACCTGAAATTTAAACGAAATGATAAAAGCAACTGATGAAATTGAGGCACAGTTGCACGATAATCTTGAGAAGCATTTCGGCTACACAGAATTCAAGTCCGATTTGCAGAAGAGGGCGGTGAAATGTGCAGTAAAAAGTAAGTTGGCTGTGAAGTTGAGCGCCGTGTTGATATGCGTTAGTGAATGTGTTTTGATTTGTTTTAGAAAAACGGGACATATATATTAGTATGCCCACCGGATCTGGCAAATCTTTGTGCTTTCAATTGCCCGGTTTAATGAGTGATGGCCAAATTACAATTGTGTTTTCGCCTTTATTGGCTTTAATTAAGGATCAAGTCGATCATTTAGCCAAATGGAAAATTTCGGCCGATTCTTTAAATTCTAAAATGACACAGAAAGAGCGAGAACGAGTGGTTAATGATTTAAAAGCCATACGTCCTAGCATACGTTTCTTATATATCACACCGGAGCAGGCAGCTACTAAGGGATTTCAAGACCTGCTTAGACAGCTCGTGGAATATGATAAAATAGCTTATTTTGCTGTGGATGAGGCTCACTGCGTATCCCAATGGGGTCATGATTTCAGACCAGATTATTTGCGTTTGGGTGAGCTGAGAGTAAAATATCCGAAAATTGTGTGGATGGCGTTGACGGCTACAGCCTCCAAACAAGTGCGTGAAGACATTTGCAAGCAATTGCAACTTAACGAACCAGTGGCGCAATTTGTTACACCTAGCTTTCGTAAGAATCTCTTTTATGATGTTGTGTTTAAAAACTCCATTGAGGACGATTTTCAACACTTGGCTTCGTTCGCATTACATTGTTTGGGTGATGAAGACGAATATAAGGAAACACCACCGGCTCAAAGGGGCTGCGGCATCATATATTGTCGTACTAGAGAAAATGTTGAACGTGTAGCTTATGGAGTCTCCAGGCGAGGCATTGCAGCGATGGCCTATCATGCCGGTTTAAAGGCTTCTGAACGTATAGAAGTTCAAGAGAAGTGGATGAGAGGGGAATATCCTATTATAGTGGCTACGAACAGTTTTGGGATGGGTGTAGATAAAGCTTCTGTACGGTTTGTTATTCATTGGGATGTGCCACAAAATGTGGCTGCCTATTCCCAAGAATCTGGTCGCGCTGGTCGTGATGGTCTCAAATCCTATTGTCGCCTCTACTACGGACGTGAGGATGCGAAATCTATTCGCTTTCTCCTGCAAAATGATATCAATCGTTTCCGCAATTCAACATGCTCTGCAAAATTGGATTTAGCGCAGCGGGCAATGAAGAATTTTGATGAAATCGTTGCATTTTGTGAAATGTTGCAGTGCCGCCATAAATTGTTTTCTGATTATTTTGGTGATCCTCCACCAGATTGTCAAAAACAATGCGATGTTTGCAAGAATCCTAAAAAAATGGAAAAGGCCTTGCAGACGTTTCAAAGACTCTGTATGGATTCTGCGTTGAAAACCGACATTTCTTTGGAAGATAGCAGCGATCTGTATGAAGGTAATAAATTGATAATTAAATAAAGTCAGCTATTTTCTTATAGCTTTAATTATTTTTGCTTCCTGTAGGAGGTCGTGCTGGTGCCAAAAGGGATGCGGCGGATTACAATGAGAATTGTACAGATGATGATTTTTCTGGCGATGATACTGCTCGCAATCAATTGGCCAAGAAAGCTAAACGTGAAACTGAGGATTTTATACGCAAGCAATTTCAGCTAAGAAAATGTTTAAGTGCAGCAAAAGAATTGGAAAACGAACCCTGCACTGCGATGACCAGAGTACATCAGGCTCAAGCTACCAACACAAAAGTGGCAGGCTTAAAAATATCTATTCGAGAAAATTACTTGACTGCCTTGACTGATGCACTCAAACAAAATGTACAGAACAGTAATGAAGATAAGCCCAAAAATGATCTGGCGCAAAGGGACTATCAGGCAGTAGCAGCGGACTTAGAATACGAATGTTTTTCGAAGCAGAAAATTGCCAGCATGTATAGACATTCTATGGCCAAACAGGTATCCAAAAAAAAATTAGAAAAAGATACAAATTATATTCGACTTGGATCGATTTTGTCAATAACTTGTACTACGACGAGGGAATTTTCAACAAATTAGGATAATTTCTATATACCATTCTCATGGGACATACCTTACCTACACATTTTTCAACATAAATTTTTAATTAATTCATATTACAAAGTGGGCGGGTTAGAGTACAAAATTGTGTAAGCAAAGCAAAATGTTTATTAACAGCGAACAAACGCGACTCAAGAGGAGAACCACAAAAAATATTAAAAAATTATCAGACAAAAATCCACGTACCTACGTCAGATAACACAATTAACTCTTTGCAAATCTGGTTAAATTTTATATTGCACTATTAAATCCTGCTAAGAAATATTTATATAAAGTTTCGGACGAATACCTGCGGATGTTCTAAACTACAATTTCTCAGGCACTACGGACAAGTTTGCGAGCCAAGCAGAAGAGTTTTTAATGACATCAAGAATTTTATCTTTTAATCGTTTTCTACCTCAATGTTTCTAAAACCTAAGCATTGAACAAACAAATCCATCCTATCTGTGTGATTTGGAAAGCAATATGAAAAACTACTGTTTATTGGCAGGCTCGAGTTAGGTGAATTTTTATTTGACGAAAATGGCAAAACAGACTCGTGGCTAAGTTTATTCTTTTAGGTAAGATTTTAATATTTTAATAACGTTTTCAATAGATCGAAAAATGTGGATAATTTAGTCCGACATTTATATTTATAGAGTTTGCGTACATAATATTTGGCAAATGAACTGAAGCGCAAGTGGTGCGCATAAAAGATGAAAATTTCTTTTAACAGAGTTTGTTTTTTTTTTTTTTTTTAGTTGTCAGCAATAAAACAAATGACTTCACAGAAACGTTTGCTCCCAATTTTAATGACCTTTGAACCCAAACCGCAAGCGAAACCGATCTTTTATAATGGTGGGAGTGTTGAATATTTTGAACGTAAACTTAAGGAATTGGAGGAACAAAAGCCGCAATCGATGGTTTCGAAGAAAGATCTTCCAAAATCGTTGCGTGTAAGAAAAAGTTTTAAGCAGGAGATGAGCAAACAAACAAGTATAGAAAATTATTTTAATAAAGCTCTCATTAAAACGGAGACTGAAGATGAACTTAGTAATGCTAGCTCAGAGAATAAGGAAATAGGAGGTTTTAACGTGAAAAAAGAAAGTAAAAACGAAACGGCCGACGTTTCAGAAAGAAAGGATATAGAGGAAGACTTAAAAAAACCTATTATGAATGACGGGAAGGAAGAAGACCTAATTGGTAAAGCAGAACTCATTGAAAATATATTGGAGTGTGAAAACAAAGAAGACAATTTGGAAAGTCTCCTCTCCAAGGAACGCGAGCTAAAAATGGAAATAGAAAACCTAGAGAAGGTCGATTCGGAAGAAGATTACAAGTATAGAGACCCGTGTGGCGAAGATTCTCAACATGATTTCAATGATAATAGAAAAATCTTAAGCTATGAGGAAACACTATTCACAAAACCGTCAACGTCAACTCTAAACTATTCTGTTAGTGGAACGCACTTGAAAGCGAAACGTACCTCTCATTACAACAAATCTCATCATTTGGCTACAACAACTAACCAAAGTGTTGATAAATTGAAAAATCATGCTTCAACAAGCGATTGCAAAAAGGACAGTCATTCGAGCGGAAAACAACTATTAAATTTAGATCACCATATAAACACAAACAGCAGCAGCAGCAGAGAGCAATCTTCAGCGAAAGAGAAAAGCCTTTGGCCTGCTGTTCATCAAACACATAGTTCTCACAGTCGGGTGAAGGAGTATTTGGAGAAGAATGCAGCGTCTTTTAAAACAAAATTATCTCATCACATTAGCTCCTCCAATTCAACACATCCGAAATCGAAGGCTCAATCGGAACGAGAAACCGCTTTTAAGCATAAAACTGACGTTAGTAAATCAGTGGTGGATTATTTAAATCCATATTACAAGCGAAAAATAGCCACCAAGGAATTATTTAAAATTTTAGCCAAACGTATTACCAATCGAGTAATTGATGGCAACCTGGGTGAGACTGAGTAAATTAATATAAAAATTTCAATACAAAACCATTATTTCTTGCCTCTCTCCTTTCAGCCTCCGACGATTGGAAATCTCAAATTAAAAATACTTTTCATAATCTTAAAATGATCAGCGAAGATTCCGATATTGAGAAATACTTTCCTGTTACATGAATTTTCGATTCATTTATATATATTCATCATATTATCTTGATAGAGTGTTTATGTTACGACTAATTTTTATCAATTTCTACTATTACTATTTTATTTTATTTTTTTTAATTACCTTATGATTATTATTACTTTAACGACACTGAACGACTATTATTTGTGAGCATATAGTCATGCCTACGCACTCTTTTATTTAAATTTGTATAAGATTTTAAAGTGAGACCTAATTCACAAGAATTATATATTCTCTTCTAATTAGGCGAAAGGAAAAAAAGAAGAAGTGAATAAAATGCAATATTGTATTTTTATTATCGAATATGTTTGAAAAGCCTTGTGTCTATGATTAGCAAAATGTGTACATCTGGAAAAAAGATAAACTTTTCCGTTAGATTTGTCAATCCTTTTCTTACTTAAGAAACTAAAATTAATTTATGCAAAAATTTCGAAAATTTTCCATTTATCAATGATGTCTATCACCTATGAAAATGAACACAATTAGCTTTAGCAGAATAGATTCGAGCAGGATGCCAATTATGCTGAACCTTTTTTTACCATAATTTCCACTAATTGGAATTAGAAGAAACTTTCATCACACGCTCGGGTTTTTAAATGTTTCTGCGCAATGCGGTATTAATATATACACAAAAGTGTCCCCAAACTTTGTAAAGGAGTCGGTTCTTACATGGTCCATATACCCTTCGAAATGATGAATATGACTTTACAAAAAAGCTGCGCTATTCGTTCGCACCAAGTTAAATTTGCATATGGAATAGATTTAACAAGCACAACTTTATAGTAATTGCGCTGGGATATTATTTCCTATATGAATGTGCCTTCTCGATTTTACCGGTCAAGTTTATCGAATTACCTATGTTTATTGCTAAATTTTGCAAACAATGAAATCAAAATTTGTTGCAGATTTTTTCCAAGTCAGCAAATTATTGATAGGTATAACAAAGTTCGACATAATCCACATTGTATTATGTTAACCTTATTCATTGGCTGTAACACCTGCAACAATATATCAGAGGGTACAAGTATTATATACGCTGTTAATCAGGCTGTCGTATGTGTCTATTTGTTTGTTTAGAACATCCAACTTAATCACGCATTTTTTCTTTTTGCCGCTAAATGAAATAAACGTTCAGACTGCTGAGACGGTGTAATTTTGGTCACAATTGATGAAAGTCGGGCAAACTGAAAGCATCGCTCTTTGCCTAAGAACTCTAATTCTCCTATTCTTGAATTATATTATCATTCTCGTTATTAAGCTTATATAGGTGACGGTCGTATGCCCTGTTGAATTTGTATAATGTTACGTAAGGAAGATAACTGAGAACCGCCTGTATGTTTTATATTTTGTGTGGAAGACGGAAAAATAAAAAGTTCTCTCAGCGAAGACTGACTATTATTTCTTTAGACTGGAAGATCTATCTGCGAAAGTTGACTCTTTTTCTGCCTTTTCTTTGTAGGAACAAACAGACAAACATTACTTGATTAGTATATTCCCCGTAAGCTGCATTTAAAACAGACATTTAACTGCTCGGTACATCTTGATCTTGATTTTATATCGTATATGGTTGTTACAACGGCTTTTTCAATGAAGTATTGTTGAATAAGGCCGTCTTCTTAAATAAGTATATATTTCTGTTCGTGAGAGGAGAATGTTATGTGTTAGTTATATTATCCACTAGAAGCTTCTCAAAATGCACCTTTTAGACAATTAGAACATGTACTCTATGTTCGTCCATCTCACTATCTTCTTTTATTAGAATTGAGATTAAATGTGGACATCAAACATTCGTGAAAGCGCCAAACAATTCGATAAAAATTTTTGAGATTCAAAAAGAACGGAATTTAAATCAAATTATATATTTTCGTTATGAATATATGTGCTAATATATATCGATTTGAAACTTGTTCGAGTACTTATTAGAACGACCTTACAATTTACGTTAGAAACAGCCCCAATTTGCTACGAGAACCAATTAGGATAGCTGATGCAGCAATTATTTTTTTGCTTCAATCGTCACCAACGCTGAAAATCACCTTTTTCTCTGCATTTGCACCCTGGTTGGCAGTTTTTTCTTATTGTTACATAAGAAGCTATCACGGTAATCACGTAACTGAAAGATAGCTTTCGTCCGTGAAATAACGTTTTTATTGCGTTCACGAAAGACTTTCGTGTCATTTTCGCTGTTGCCAGCCATGTGTACATGAAAAAACAGAGAAACGAAGCACCTTTTTTTATTATTTTTAATTATGACAGTCAAAATCCAAAAAATAAAAATTGTTTTCTCTCTGTGATAAATTAACAAAAAAACCAACTATTGATGAGGTACTGGCCCATGAGTGTACCATATACTTAGGTAAAAGGTGCATGAACCGTGAACCATTAAGGACATAAGTGAATTTATTTAGAAAAAAGCCGCCATTTCTGGTACAAGAGTCGACACCCGCCTAAGTAAACACATCTCATTCAAGCGTATTGGGAGAGGTAATTATAATCCATTTTTTAAATTGGCTAAACAGCTAACAATTGTAACAACAATTGTACGATCGCATACGTTTACCTCGACGTCCTAGTGATGATAAGGATTCCCCTAAAAAATTATATACATTGATTACTAATGTTCCGGTGGCCACATTTAAAAATTTGCAAACTGAAAACGTAATGATGACTACGATTAAAACGAGTATGTAATCTAATGGGCAGAGAACGTTTTGAATGCAAAGTTGGTGACTGGCTTAAACAGTTTTTTTTCGTTCTAGTTCAATAAGAATGGTTTAACTATTTTTAAATCGCTAATGTAGTGTAAAACATAACCAATTTATTGGCGTCATTACCATTATTTAATAAGAGCAAATAGGATTATGTAATCGAAATAAATAACCATAATATTTTATGAGTCACCGTCATAAAACAAAGGTGCATCCTGCGGTTGGGAATTACAAAAATTTCGTTAATATGTAAGTTATAAAGTATAGGCAATTTTAATTATAAGTATTAGGGATTAATAAAGATTTAATGGAAATTCCGCACTAGCTAGCAAAAAAGAAAATCCATTATATAAGTAATTTAAATTTCATTGGAGCGACTGGTCTTCTGTACGGCGTCGTTAACCATGGCTTTAATGGGTATCAACTAAAAATAATTGAAAGATAAGGGTGGATAGCGCTTTAAATTTGTTCACTGCTTATCAAAACGTTGCTTTGGTTACCATTCCAACGACTTTGTAAGTAGGTCCTTTCATTGCAATGCCTCAACGCATGCGAGTCGTGGCCCGATCCTGGACATGTAAAAGCAACTGCAATTATATTCATTTCATGGACGCAAATGTTACGAATACGTAGGTTAATTTCCCATCAGTGCAAAGGGTTTGAAAGCGTCCCGCAAAGCGCTTCTTCGTCTCATAACAATTCTCAGTCGCGAAGTTCAATCCTCTTCTATCAAATGGTATAAAATGATATGCCGAAGCATTCTGCCTAACATTTATATATTGATTAAGACAAAACGATTATTTATTAACAGTAAATAACATATTATTTACCTTTCGCAATTCGAACTTTTTTGGCCAGCAATTTTCTGGGTTGCTTTGGTTTTGTTTATTACTTAGTTTTTTGTTTAAATCTTTTGTTTTAATTCAACTATTTTTCAGTAAAACAAATTGGTTTGGACTTTAGTTTGTTGTTTTAATTTACCGCTGTTTTCTATTACAAATACAACTCTAAATAAGCAATTGTGACTGAGAGCAACCAATACTAACACAAAATCTGAGCTATTTACCTTTCGCGGACATAATGACAAGTATGAAAGAGTATGTTTGACAGCTGTCGTACATACGTGAAGTGAAAAAAAAACCTAATTATCAAACACTTCTGAATGTCGGGAATGATGGGAAGTCGACCAGTCGAAAAATGGGAACGCAGGCTAACTTTCGGATATTTAATTATCCTACTGATTGATCCTTTTGAGTGGTCGAACGCAAAGTATCATGACTAGCAACTCAAAGCTCGTGGATTCGAATCTCAGATGCACTAGAGTTTTTAATAAAGCCGATAGCCTTAGATATGCTAGTGCTTTAAGACTTTAGTGTTAGAATTTATTTCTCTGGCTAAATAAATAATAATAATATTATCGTGCCGATGTTTTCGCTTTGTCCTCAAATATTGCTTTCAAGCAGATGATGTCAATGCTTAGACGAACAAAGCGCAATGGAGAAAATAATGGCAATATCCAGAAAACCGATGGAAATAAAAGGGTTTAGCTTTTTCGCGAAAGTCTATAAAATGTAGATTGTAGAGCATTGACGTCATGACATTTCACACTTTTAATCTACTCGATTTAAATGACGGTTGAAGCTAAATCCGTAAAAATATCAGAGGAAAAATAAAGCAATATAAAAATACCTAATGGAGGAACTGGTCCATACTTTGAAATATATGATAGCTACAAAAGATTTCATAAAATTAAAATGACTAACAAAATTGGCTTTGAAATTGGAATTCTATAGCGTCCACGTTCACGAATATGGTAAATGATTTGTGAGTTCGCGTATTAGTTTGTTTTTCCCCCAATTATCAACGATTTAAAAATAAATTTGAAATAAAAATTATAGCGTTAATCGTGAACGTGTTAGTAAAATGATCAGAAAAGATCACAGAAAATTATCTTAATCTCTCAACTATTGCGAGCTTGTATATGGACAAATCACAACTTTAGCTTAACCTTGATCAAGGAAGGTCTTCGCCAAATTTCAGTTTCTTAGCTTCATTTCTGCAACTAAGGAAATTCTGTAAAGCTTATGAATCAATTTGACTCACGTTTGTTAAAAACAGACACATTCAAGGTCACAGTCGAAAGTTCCAGTGTTAAGTACTCGCTCGTTGTGGTGAAGAAGCAGGGGAAAAATATCTAAAGAACATAGATATTTGTGCAGATTTGGGAAGAGGAATTGATTACTCCATTCCGAAAGGTGAAGTGGAGTTCAAGGCAAGTCCCTTGTTAACACCTTTTTCAGTATATTTTAATAATAAAACCGACAAAGCTTAAGACTTTTGCACTTAGAAAACGGTTTAATGTTTAACAAATCATTACCTCACGATTACGTCATTGCCATTCTAGATAGAGGCTGCCTGTAAAGTCTGATAATTAAACAGTAATATTGGGCATAAATTAAAGACGTTTAAGGAGAAAAATATATTTGTGATTTTATTATTAATAATTTTGTATGGCATCTAAAAATGTACGTACAACAGTGGTATGAACTATATAAGTATATTAAATAAAGAGTAATCGAGGGATTACTTAAATGCACGCGTGGGTGGGCGTTATTTGATGCTTCCAAGAATTAGAAAGAGACAAAGAATAAGAGAGAGAGAGAGAGAATGTAGAAAAATATATTATAAATGTCTTTTTAAAAAAGAATTTTAATTAAATTTCTATCTTATCATTCATACTGCTAATGAATAATATGCACACGCGTGTGTGGTGAATTTCTATATATATGTGTAAACTATATATAAAATAATTTTTAAAATAATTTTTTAAAACTTGCTTGCACTGTACGACTTTCTTTTGTTGCGACTTTTCGTTCGAATGTAAAAGTTGTTTAGTAGCAATTTTTTAATATTCCGAACCTTTATGAAAACATACATAATATAAAATATATATTACAGTTACAAATTTAAGGCTTCATTGATACCATGGCGCTCTGTTTATCAATTAATATTAAATGATCGAAAGATCACTTAATAGAAAAGTTGCACACACGTGTCTTGTGCAAATTTTGTAAAAATTGTAGTTTTAAAAGAACGAGTGCTTATAGGAATATACCCTAATTACGGCTAACAAGCTTTAAGAAAAAACTTATTATAAAATAATGATAACATAAACATATTAATTAACTTATCCAGAAAGAATTCAGAATCCATTCAAAAGTTGTTCAATCTTTTAAGAGGAAAAAGATACAAATACGCCTGCCAAAGTTGGCTAATGCTTAAATCATATGTTATTTAATTTCCTTTTCCTTTTTCATCTTCGTAGATTTCAAGTAAAAAAAAAAAAAACACTCCATCTGCTACGCCTTCGACCGCCGTAATTGGGACAAAAATGGTTAAAAGTGCTTTCGAGTAAAGGGTTTTGAGAAATACTTATTATAAACTGATTTTTTTTTTTTTTTTTTTTTTTAACTTAAAACACATAAGTAAGAAAACAGTTAAAATATATTTGCTCTATCTTTTCTTCTTCTTCTTCTTCTTCTTCGGAACAACGAAAGGGAACAAATATATTTGAATTGGATTATAAATTAAAATTACGAATACATTTGCTGATGCACTTATTGTTAGAGCTAATTATTAGATCTCCTCGTTAACGTTGACCGTGGTGATGGTTTCTGCTGAGATGATTTCCAACAAATATTTAGTAGATAGATGGTACATAAAAATAAATTCAATTAATTTACAAACATTTACCTAACATTTCATCTTAACGAGTACGTACTAAAACAATGAAAAATGTTTCATGAGAGAACCACGAATCAATCTTAAATTGGGGAATATTTAAATATCCTTCTTACACATAAAAAGTTTTTTTTTTTTGTTTTTTCTTGAAATTATTCTTGGTTTTTTTCGTCGTCGTGGAAATGTGTACTTAAATATAATAATTTTTTTTTTTTTTATTTTGTTTTTTTATGCTACTTATTATCTTTTGTGTTTTGGAATCAATTTATAAAAAGCAGCATCATGGTCTTTAATATAATAATATTATGTATTGTAATTCCAAACTGCAGGTAATTAAGTTATATTCAGTTAATAAAAAATAATTAAAATATAAAATTATATAATAAAATAATACAAAAGAAATGAGTAATAAAAATACATTAAATAAAAAAAAAAAAGTTTAAAATTTAAAAAACAGATTTACTTTAGGCGACGTTAACGCTGTTGATGTCATTACTGTTGCTGTTGCTAACGGTGTGGAAATGAGCTCTTTACTCCGCTTGGCATTTTCCAACATTTCATTGTAATTTTTCAAGATAACATCGTATTGTTGCTCATTTATATCGACCGGTTTAATCGCCGACACCGCAAGGAGTCTAGAATAAAATTCGCATTGAATACAAAACAAAATTCAATTTTAATCATTAAGTAGCGACTTCTTCAATATTATCAGTAAAGAAACTATGTCCACCTTTGGATGTGGCTTAGGCGGCGCGACTACCATATGTTCTTTTTTAAAACTATATATGAAAATCTCATGTTTAAAAATCAAAATGCATTTCTACCATCATCTGATGGTATAATGAGAGAGGCAATAAAGAATATTTGGAAGCAAAATAAATGAGACGTCGTTCGTATCGTTCTTTTAAGGAAATATCTTGTATATTATTTTGGGGATATTTCAGTAAACTTGTTCGATGCGTTTTATAGGCAAGTGCGGTTATTGATAAAAATAGAACTAGTTCAAAACTATATTGTGTGTGCGCAATCTCTGATATTTTTCAATTGCCTTTTCAGATGCCTTATTAAGGGCAAATTATATCTTTGATAAGCGGTAATGATTACTATTACTGATTATATTAGTCCACCGAGTATGTCGTGTATTGAGAACTCAAACACAAGTTTCAGACTTATGCGAACACTACAATTTTTGTAAATTATTGATAATCCTTTTCGAATCTATCTGTCTCTTTCTATAAATAACAGTGCCAGGCAGCAGATATGTACGAAAAGCTTCGGAACTTACTAATGACAAAGCGCGATCAATCTTAGATTAAGAACCAAAGTTGGATATACTACTACTAACCCAGCAATAAATACCATTTATATATAAAAATAAGTGAAACTTTTCGAGTGTATCGAGAGTGGGCGTGTGACGTCTAGCTTTCAGATAAGTTTTCAGCTATAGAATATGTGAAAAGAAGTTTCAGATTTCTTCGTTAAACTACTAAGGGCTTTTGACAATGGAAAGCGAAGGCAAGGAGACAATTGAATAATGAGCTTAATACAAGTCCAACAACAAGTATCATCTTTCATATCATCCATGTAGAATACATATGTGCACATTCATATGTAATCGCAACGATACTTTCACAACTTTGTTTATTAATAGGTGGCACCGACCAGGCGATGTGCTCCATGTTATGGCGATAGCCAAAAAGAAATGAAGAACGAGCTAGGGAGTAGACGTTTTTGAGTTTCTCAGTTTCATAGCTCATGTTTTTACATGATTAAATATTTCGCCTTTATATTGTAATTATTGCTAGCGGGTTGAAGATTGTATTATTAAGTGTCTTTAAATATTTTATGAGTATATTTCGAGTGTTATTCGCGTAATGTTAGGATAAATATCTGAGTCTAACCTAAGCCCTTGGGTATCCGAAATTTGCCCAAAGTTGCATATAGTTTCCTCACTTACCTCATTTTCATAGTTTTTTGTTCAATTTGTTTTGCTATATGTTTTACTATAAATTAAAGTTTAATTACTTTTCTGATTTGTATTTTTCTGGTATGGCTTGTTGGGCTAGTGTGATGGCAGCGTTATGTGATTTGCACAGACACAATAAAACTTCTTTTAAATCCTCCAAACGATAGGTAGTAATTTCTTCCAGTTCGGTTGACCAAATGTTTATATCGCAAATGAAACGAGCCAAAGCCAATGCAGCGGCGGAAATCATCGATGGATAAAAGCGCAAATAAGGATCAGCCTCGAGCAAGGATAATTCACAAATATACTGCAACATATTATATGCAAATATGAAATAGAATTGAAATCGTTAACTTCATAAAGTAAAGTGCACTGCAACACTCTTACCAGCGTTAAATATTTCACTTTGTCCGGTATGTCGATTAGCACTGAATAGGTGCTCGTGAACACATAGGCTGTGGGTGTGCACAAATCAAAAGCTAAAATCTTTAATATTATTTGTTCCATGCGCAACACCTGTGCCTTATTGTAAGTATCATCGGTAATGAAAACAAATTCCGATACATCCGGTGGATAGATTTCCTCATATTTGCTAAAGAGAAATATTATTACTGAAGTGTGTGTGTGGGGGTGTGTGTGTAATTATTAAAATCAATATTTTTAACAAAATTTTCCCTTACAAAATAAAAAGAACATATTTACTCAACTTGTAAAAGGCTCGAATCAAAGCGAAGATAAAGAATAAATGGTTAGGGAACGATTTAATATAACTTCACTTTTATAAGAGATTAAATCAATAAACCATCAAAGAATAATAAGTAAGAAAATTATATTCGGTCATGACCGAATCTCTTACACCCATTACCGCTATCAAAAAAAAAAAAAAAAAAAAAAAAACAAAAAAACAAAAACGCTAAATTTCCAATGCTCTATAGTATGGAGTGAGTGCGGCTGATTTTTTCTATTTTCAAAATAAAACTTTTCGACGTGTCCTGGGAAAACTTCAGGTAATTTTCAAATTCTTTTGGAGATTTGTAGGCGATATCTTCATTTTCGCGAACGGGAGAATGTTTACCACATATACTACAAAGTTGCGCAAACAGACGGATGGACTGATGAACAGGCAGGCATGTTTAGTTGTGTCTGCGTCTTGCAAAGGTAGTATTGAAAAAAAAATTGCAGTTTGATACACTGTAATATTGGGTAGATGGTACTACGGTAACGCCTTTTGATAAATAGGGTTGTTCTCTTTCTCTCTCTCTCTCAACAGACATTAAACAGACGGACAGACGGACAGAATTTGATGCTGATCAATAATATATATACTACTTTTTTGGGCTTCCGGCGTTGCGTTGCAAACGCTTTTAACAAAATGAATATATCTTCCATCCTTCGGTGATGGGTATGGAAATTGTAATAAACGTATCAACAAATTGCTGCCAGTCCCTATAAGAATTATAGAAATAGTTAAGTGGACGAAATATTTCACTGTCGGAAAGTTTGTAAGGCACTCTACTCTTTATCCATGAGCGGGTAATGGCACTGATCATTGGGTTGAGAGCAAATTCATAACATATGCTATTTTAAGTTAAGCCTTCCATATAATGCTGAATTGCTGAGCGCAGCAATTTCCCGTTAACATATATACTTTGCTAGCATTCAGCCTGAAAAGTTGAGACATGCTCTGGAAGAACGATTAGTTTGCTTAGAAAAACTAATTCACTTAATTGCTCTCAATATTAAAACTGCCATTGGCAATTGATTATCCCGTCTGTTTTAAGGATAACACTCGCACCGAATTATCAATCAAGAGAATATTCCCGTATTAATGGACTACAAACGGTGAGTTTAAAAATATGTGAAGACTTTGCAGGCAACTGAATGAATTCATGCTAAAAATACATTTTCTTGCATTTAATTCTATTGTCTGAAACATAAAATAAAACGCACGCGTACACACACAAGCAACTTTTCAATAATCTCTGCAACTAACAATATTTGCTCATCAGTTTATTATTTTTATTACTATTATTATTATTAATTTAACCCGAGAATGAATTCCAAGACAAAGTCTTAAAACTTTTCAGTTAACGAAGTAAATAAAGGAAGCAAACACTGAGCTCTTACGACGTTGTAATTATCATGTGAAACTTGAATAAGTGATCGTAAAAGCTTTTTGAATTCAATTAAATTAAAATGGCAAGCAAGTATTTTCAATTTTTAAATTATCCGCCTGAGTTGGCCGAGTAGGCAATAGTCTCGACTAGCAACTTAATGGTCGTGGGTTCAAATCTCAAGTGCCGTAGAGTTTTTAATAAAGCCGAAAGTCTTAGATGCTAGTGCTTTAAGACTTTAGTCTTAGAATTTACTCTCTGGCTAAATTTGTAATAGTAATAGTAATAGTAATAATAATAATAATAATAATTTTTAAATTATATTAAGATAATTGTCTGTGTTATATATAGAGATCGATTATTGTGAACTTACGAAGCAATGTACATTGCAGCCGTTCCAACCAATTGCAACTTGTTACGCACTACCGACATGTGACTAAGGAATCGATCAATATAGGATACCGATAAGTACAGTGTCTCTGTATCTAAATTGTACTCTTCGGAAACCTCGACAAGCCAGTCGACCAATATAGCACGCATTGAATAATTGATATCTGTTTGGCGGCGCATATAATGAGGTTTGGGGCGATGCTTTTTCTGTAATGAAATTTAAATGCCAAATTTAAATTAGTTAGCTTACAATAATAATTAAGTACAAAGGAAAATATTTAAATCATTAAACATATCCGATCGTGATCGATCGCAAAGAGTACAATCATCACAGTGCAAAAGGCAAAGCCACTGAGTTTCTAACGAGCATTTATTTTAGTATCACTTTTGGAAATCTAATATTTACTTAAGCGAAAAGATTGCGAAGGACAAAACAAACCGAACCGTTTATGATAAACAATTCCAATGGTGGTCTGCAGTAAGAAAAACTTGACTTATCATAAGCAAGCAAAGATCATTAATAATAAATATATGAAAAAGTTTGCAATTATGATCTTGTTCATATCTATGTTATGGATCGTTATCTGTTACGTGCATAAATGAGAGTCTGTTGGGCTATTTTGTAGATGCAATGTGCGAGCGGATTACTCACGCGTTCAGATTTGTTGTTGGTACATTTCGTGGTTCAATTTGAGTTGCGATTGTAATAATTTTTTGAATCTTCTTAACTGGCTTATGATTTGAAAATAAATAAGCAAATGTTACGATGTATGTTACGAATATTATAGAAATTTCTAATGCACTGATGCGTGAATTATTGTTTAAGGCTAAAAACGAAAGTGTACTCGCAGCAGACAGACGAAGAATATATAAATTCTTAAGGATCGCGTATATGTATATGAATATATGGATACATACAAATGCACACAAAAAATATGAATACGCAATGAAAGACAACCACGTATGTCCGCTTAAATATAAATGACCTATAAACCGGGCGTATATAAACAACGCATAAATACATATATGTATGTACTCGTTTGCATGAGGAGTATGGTCATGTTTTCTTTTAACGTTTTGCTTTCGTCAGCCTAACGGTTACGAAGAAGGAGAAAAAAGTGTATGATGTGACAACAGTCTAAGCTAAGTGAGACTCTCATTGCAGATGCTTTAACATTAAATATTAATGGGAGCAAAAAAAAAAAAAAAAAAAAACTATCGCGTAATCGCTGAAAATGAAAAATTTAACCATCGCTTTTGTATTCAGCTGTTCGACAGAGACGGCTGAATACAAAGAAAAAAAGCCGATTTTCGGTTACGTGATTACCCCGTAATTTTTTTTTTTGTTAATTCTCTTCTCGCGAGCATGTTGTGCATTTAAAGTAGTTTGGCAAGTGTAACAACAACAACAGCAATAATAAAAACAACAAGAAAAAGATTGTAACCAGCTTGAGTAGAATTTTTTCAATACCAATCTATCAATCGGGCGGCGAACTTGTTGTTGGATTCGGGCGGCGAATTTGCCCCGTGAAATGTCTGCATGTTGAACATTAGTATTTTTTTGGGCTATGTCTTGTGATTGTTTTGTATGATTAGGTTTGAGAACCCTATCGATTTCATTCGAAGCATTCGCTTGTAGTAAAAGAGTTTTGTTTATTTTTCACATAAGGACCAGGAGCGTGCGTCTCAAGGAAAATCTGACGAAACTCGCTACGTACCTTTAGCAAGGGATGGAAATGACCACACGAAGGCGGCGCACCCAAAGTATTGAAATTGTAGGCCTTTAACTTCAAATCCTTTCATAAAGCATTTGCCATCATATCTATGGTTAGATCAGTCTCAGGCATATTCCGGGCCTTTGCAGAGTATAAAGCTTTTTGATAGTAATTTCTTGCAACAATTCACGTTTACCGTAGTTGATATCAATTCGAGGATATTCGATAGCTATCAAAATCATGAGGGTATGTAATCACGTATGAAAAGTTTAGCTTTCGAAAGGCGAAAGTTGCCTCTCAGGTAAGTGATTAGCCCCCATATTTTTTGTACAGTTTGACAACTGGAATATAATTATATAAACTAAAAGCAATAGATGCAGTATGTTTCCCTTTTTCTTTTTTTTTTTTGTAATTCTAGGCAAGCTTTTCAGCTGATTTAACTATTTTATTGAATTTAACTTGACACGGGTGATAAGAAAGAGAAAGAGAGAGGGGAACAAAAAAGACAAGAACAAGAAGTTTGCCCTTATAAGCAATGTTGAGTTTTCGATAAACAACATTTGACAAATTTAATATACCCTCTCCTAATAGCTACAATAATAGACAGGTTTTAATAAACAACTCACGAATATTAACGTGTAATACAATTTGCTTTTGCCAGAGCAGGTTGTCGTATACATATATACATTTATCAGAAGGAAAGTGCGTACTCTTACGTGTACAGTTTAAGAAAAAATTATTGCATTTTTTTTCACCGCAAGAATGATTTTAACATCTGTAATAGAAATAAAAAGAAATAAAGTTGAAACCTCCACCTTTGCCTTTACTATCTATATAATGTTATATATGTTACATATTAAACATCTGCTACTTTGTTTATAACGCCTTAGAACCCCATAAAATCTGTTTTCCCTTATTCATTCATTAATATACAAAAATTACCAGCCGGTACAAAATATCTTAGAATATGATAAGAGAAGTCAAGTAATAGATATTACTAAACAGATCGTAAAAAATTAACCACGACTAAGTAAATACTGACCAGATTACAGACTTCAATATTGTGCAACAATATTCAATAGAATAGAAATAATTCAGTGACGATCAAGAAAGGAACGAGGGCATTTCAGCATGCGGAAAACTGCAATGAACAGTAATTGAAGTCATGAAATCATAGGAATAAGTAAAGTATCGATATAAATACATTAGAGAGGTAGCCTGGTCACCTTTAAATAATTTAGCAATAAAGGCAACTTTCAATATCTCTTATCTTTTCTTCAGGTTGGGACAGAACAAGGAGCATTTACCTATTTTCGTAAGGCGGAACCTCTAAGTGAGAATTACGCCCGAAGAACTGTAAAGCAAAAATTAGAAAGCTTTGTAGGCGAGTAGAACAATATGAAATCTGTAACTTGGTGTCCAGAGCACAGATGAATATTTTAAAATTGGTAGAACACGTAAGATTCCTATGACGACTTCTGTGTAAAAAGCCCCGACGCGATCATTCAATAAAAAAATTGAAGCTCAACTTTGGATCAAGGTTATAAATGAGGATTGCTTGCAGCTATCAATGAGATAACTAGACGGCGGACTAATGCATCAAGAGAAATGTACCTTGAAGCATTTTTTAAAGCTCAGTGATACACAATTAACCTTAGACCGTCGTAGCCTTGATTGCAACGATATTGATGATTCGCTATTAGTGGTTTGTGTATGGACGAGCTCGCGGGTGTATCAGTAACACTGTCGACGAATATATGTTCAATAAATGTCAGGAGACAGGGTAATTTTCTTCAATCTTGAACTCTAGTTTCATCATTTCGCTTCACAAAAGAGCACCGATAGTGAAACTTAGTGTTCTGTCTTAATTTTTCGAGTGGGTAGTTATCAAAGGGTTTCTCTCCAAGGGAAGATCAACCTTCACAAGTCTTTTAAAATTCACTGGCAATATATTTGAAGCTTTCGCCGAGCCCAAGCAAATGGATGTTATCTGTACTGATTATACCGTACACTTGTGGTTGGAATGAACATATGTAACACACGGAAAGGCTTAACATAGACCCACCTATTATTAAGAATGAAGATAGACCTATCTTTTATTAAGCTTGTCTGTACGTCTGATGTCCGTCCATGTAAATTCGTGTTCAAACTACATGTCGCGATTTTTGATGAACTTTAATACGTTAGCGTGCGCGGGGCCAAGGACGAAGCGTATTTAATATGGTTCGGATCGATTTACTTTTTCGACCACTCCCCATATTGAAATGTCTTTATATGGACTAAAATTTCAATTTTCAAAACTGCTCGACAAAGGTGGCTAATTAATAGTGTTTCGACGTTCTAAGTTGTGGTGAAAACTTTGGATCGCCTGGTTTTGCACGAAAATTTTTGTTTTTTAAGGCAGAAAAGTCTTAGTTTTAATATTGTATGGTAGAAATTGATCGATAATAGTTTTATAGTTTGATATAAAAACTAACTATGTTGAATTTTGAATATGTATCGCAAGTATTTAACCTCTTGGGCACAACCATTCTTGGGAAAGGTAGACCTTTATTAGCAAATGAATCTAATTTTTAATATGCAGTTCCATGATAGTTAGTTCACATAAAAACGGTATATAAATTTTGAATTGAAAGAATTGTATTAGACAATGCTGTGCAGGGTATTTTATAGTCGGTCTAAGCCGATTATAATGTTTTCATTTGTTTTACAAATCGTTTGCTAAGCAAATCGTTGAGCATAGCTTTTTTAAAACAACCTATTAAATGACTGTTTAAATAAACATTTAATATTATATCAGCGGTGGTCGCTTGACGCCAGTCTTGTATTCTAAATATATTTACAAGCACTGTAATGTAGATTAAACAAAAGAAGCACACACCATATAAACATTTGTTGGATATGTGTAAAAAGAACCCCAACTGCTTATAAAAACACCATACATTTAATTATGCTTATTTAACATATGGACAAGATATATATATATATATATTTTTTTCTCAATAGTTTTAAAATTGAATCTGTTATGTTTACGATGTCTTCATAAGCTCTAGCTTACTTTACGAAGGACATGATAAGGGGGGTAGTATGAGGTAAGGTAAGCTACCGTAAATTTTTCAGAGAAAGAATTTTTATTGCATCTCGCATCTCGAAGCACTTAATCGACTTTATCGATTTACTCATTTCGACGAGATGAGAATAATGAACGAAAATTTGAGATCAATTTTGTTCTTTCAACGAGGTTTCTGTGGATGGGGACTATTATATAGGAGGTATTTGGGAAAAAAAAACTTCTTGTACTTAGTGCCAATCTTAAAAAGAGAGAACACAGCCGTTAACAGAACAAGCAAGAATGCTATAGTCGGGCAAGACCGACCATACACCACTTTGATCGATTAATGATTCAATAAAAATTACAAATTATTTTTTACGCGTATAGTTCCAATGAAAGCTGTCATATTGGAAGATGTTCAAATGTCAACGTGGTCTAAATTTTGCAACCTTAATTTACTTGTCAAATATTTTATTAATTTCCAGTTGCTTCAATCGTAACATGCCACAAACCCGACTTTGCCGCTATAGATGGGTTTGCTTCCATGGGTGTGTGATTTCAAATAAAAAATGGATTTATGTGATCCAAATTCCCTATGGTTGACTTAATAAAGGCAAACTTTCACCATAAGTTATTAGAAATTAGTCCTTGTTGGCATATAAAACTTTATTTTCCATTTAGAATCCTTGTATGGATCGAAATCCAAAAAATAAACCTACATGATCCAGATTCGGTGAGGTTAATACTTATCAAAAAATAAGGCGCTGTATGGGAAGTTCTCCGATCCGAACCATTTTTAATAGCGTACGTTTTTGGGACATATGTCGGAAGTTGCTACCTGTAGGTTGAATACAAAAATATACGGATAGATCAGACGGACAGACATGCTTAGATCGATTGGAAATTGTTTTGGTATATAATATGGAGGATTTGTCTTAAATCCCCTTGACTGACGCAATCGTCTGCGCTTGATATGCCCTTTTCCACAAGTGGTGGAATTCGATCTCGACAGAGGATTTTCAGTTTTTATCCCCCCTCTTACTTTTTACAATTGCGCCTACCACTCATTTACTATATTTTTGGGGAGCTATCGCTGGCCGACATTAAATAGGTTTATACCTGCCGATTATTATCGTCTGGAGATCACTATCAAAGTTTACAACTAGTGAAAATTTCTAGTGATCAAAAATGCATTTGTATGCATACAGGGCATCCGTACGACTATATGAAAATGGTAAACTGTTTCCGATTATAAAGTAAACTCTACCTATGGTAGATAAATTAATACATCTTGATTTTATTACAATCTCTTATTATATATAATAAATTGAAATAACTGATTCATGGATTGTAGCTAGTCCCGCTAACATTTATAGAGGATATTTTGTTGAAAGGAACTCAGCCGGCAAAGGGCACCTTTCCAATGTTGACGCGTCCGTGGTTCGTAAGCAACAAGAACGACTACAATTACGTCCATAGCAACCGCGTATATGAAGTCAGTAATGGAAGCGAAAAAAAACTTCTGTCGATTAAATAGTTTATTAAAGTAAGCTTTTGCTTTCCTTTTAAAAGTCTCTTATATATGTATGTGTGTATATGTATGTTATTCTATAAAATAGACAACTCCGAAATTGTAAAATTGTTTTCCCTTCTGTTGAAAACAAGCTTCCAAACAAGCAAAAACATATTTTTATAGTCTATTAACATCGTTGAAGAAAAATATTATTCGCTATCGCTTATATTTATTTATATTTTCGATTATTTGATTTTTGCTCTTCTTCTATACAATAAACAAATATAATTAATACAACTTCAGTGCGATAAAAATATGGCTACGAATTTGGGCATTTTGACCCAAGCCGATCTGAACGAGGCTATGAAATTAGAGAAGCGAAAACAATATGAGGATCAACGTAAGAAACGCATCTTTAATGCGAAGCAAAGACTTTACGGGGTAAGTTCAAATTCGAAATTGAAATTTTTCAACTCTAACGAATAGGCGAATAGGATATGTGATATATACGCATGAGAGCGATAGAGAATCATTTTTTATATTATCTTTTGCAGCTCGATTTGGATGCGTTGGAAAAACAAATCGCAGAAAAGTCGAAACAACGGCAATTTGAGGCCGAATGTACGCGACGCTATGAGCAACAGACACAAATGATGCAAGATACGGTAAAAGCTAAGGAGCTGGAACTGGAGAAACGTAAACACATCATGGAGAGTGATTTGAATTATTATCGATGCCGATATCAACGAAAAGAGCAAAGCCGAGAGTTTGATTTAAATGATCCGGATTGGAATAAGAAGTCGCAACCGATACGTACAGCCGACGACGACTTTAATTTAGGGATTTCAAGTGCTCAAGTTTTTTCGGGCGAAGATTTGGGTTTCAAAGAGCGGAAACAGAGGCAGCGTGAACAGCAGCGCGCCTGGTTAGATCAGCAAGTTATGGAGAGAAAGCACGCCGAAGAAAGTCGCGTAAAGGCCGATAGGATATTTGAAGAATCTTTGCATTCGCGTGATAAACGTCTGGAAGATATGGCCAATTCGGAACGTCGTGTACGCCATGAAATTGTAGACTCAATACGTCGTTACAATAGCGAAATGGCCAAACGTAAAACTGAAGAACGTGCCCGTAAGAAAAATGAGACGACTGAGGACGACATGGCTGAAATCTACAACATGTTAACTAGTGACATGCTTACCGAAAATCCAGACGTAGCACAATCAAAAATAAATCCTAACAAAAAAATCGCTTTCATGTTTCGCGGCATGACTCCGGAAGAATTAGCTCAATTCCATAAACAGCAACATCAGCAATTGCTTGAAGGTAAAAAACGAAGAACTGAAGAACAAATGATGGACAAGCAATGGGAACAGCACGCTTTGAATATCGATCGTCAGCTAATGCTGAAACATTTGGAAATGGAGCATAAGAAACAAGCGGAATTGCAGAGACTTTTCGAATTCAACGGCAAGCTAGCCAAAGAGCAAAAGATGCAAAGAGAATACAATAACAAAGTAATGAACATCAATCGTGTGTCAAAGGAGTTCTATGAGCAGTTTAATAAAACTACGCGTTAAAAAAAAATAGGCGAAGACAAAACACTACGCAACACAAAACAATCATTTGTTATAGTTTTACTCGAGAAAACCCGAGAATTTCGTTCATATGAAAATTCGATGTTCTTTTTTTGTTGTGAATGAAAGCATTGCGTACGCATGCATGCACAGGGTAGTACGTAGTCTACTACATCGTTAGCTGAGGAAAATTGACACAAATTGCTCGGAAGTTTTGCATACTTTTTTTACTTTTACAAGAAGAATGTCCTTCTTTTTTTTTTTTACTTTATCATTATCAAATATGACGAATTCAATCAAAATCAATAAAGTTATTAATGAAAATGTAATAATAATAATTAGGTTGTAGAAAAATTCGTCCTATATTTCGCCACGTCATGTAAATAACGCAAGTACCGTAATATTCGGTGAAATTGCATCGCGTAATCGATGACTGACTACTCACGAAATATCTTGCAAGAGAGCTCGATTCAATGTCCAGCCGTACCAATAAAGCATTTCACATCTTTATCCTGCGATGCGATCTTCCAAACAACAATTCGATATTCCTCGACATGACGACGAGAAGAAAGCAGCTGTTTTATTGCCACGACCTTCCCCCGTTAGAGGAAGGAAAAATTATATAGACGCGAAAGAATGCGAAAGTCTCAACAACTTCTCATCAAGGGTCGACTCAAAATCGGCGCATATTTTATAATGGTCTTGTATAACTGGCCTATACCATAATTAGTTTTTGCGAATTCTATTAGAGTTGTAGCACGCTGTTATATGGGGCAGAAGTCTGCTTTCTACTTTCTTATGATGGAAACTCGAAAATAATAAAATTTTTACAAAACAATTTTGTTTTTGTGAAATTTGCAACACGTACTGTGACGTTTTGGGCATCTCTCAAATATACGAATTTTCATGAAAACTATGCTTTTGCATGAGAATAACGTATAATTCTTAGTGTATTATTACCAAAACGTACTAAATGAAATGGTGTAGGGTATCTAAACGTCGGCGTTGCCCGACAATAATCTTCTTACAGACCTATCAAAATAAGCCGTTGCATACTAAAGCGGTCCGATCCGTGTTCGTTCTTAAGCCGAAACACGACAGTGCGACATATGAGTTGAACACTTAGATGAATTTAGAGAATGATTCTGAATTGTATGCCTGGGTGTCATATACGTTCGCACAAATTTAATGCACTCTGTATATCACAAGTGGTGTAACGCCAAATTGCTTGCCAACAATAAGTAAAAATTCCTTACCTATGGCCTATAAAAGAACTTGAACTTAAACTTGAATAAATTGCAGAGGTAAGAGTCAGTTACAAAATCGCCGTAAGCGACAAACAGAGACAGCACTATATACGCATAAATAAGAAAATATATGTTATATAATTCCTATTCGTATGTTAACATTCGTCGGGTACAGATGCGTCGTTTTAGCGCTAGCACTATTATTGTGATTTCTAATAATCTGATTAAAATTTCCAATAAGAGTGCTCTGCTCTTTCACGTGTTGTTGTAAATTTACACAAAATCACAATCATATAAACTGTAGACACAAACAAAGGGAACTCCAAACAGAGAATCAAATTGTTTTACTTAAACGATTGTGAAGGTGATGAAAATGATATTAATAATGATTGAAAAACCTAAGCCAACTTGAGCCTATATCTCCTCTAAACTAGACAAAAAAGGGAATCCGTAAATTAAGCATTACTTGCTACCAGCAAACAATTCGCACTTTTCTATAGTTGTATGCGGATGCGTAAGTCGATGTTAACGGCAGCAGGACCCAACTTACACCGTAACCACCATCAATAGACATTCCAGATGTAGCGGATAAAAAAAGAAGAAGAAAGTTAATCGCATGTCTAAAACACAGATAGGTTAGGCTTAGGATTAAGACAGTTTGGCTTTTATAGAAAACTAGTCAAGTAGTGGCATTGTTGCAAGATAGCTTTTCATCCGTATCAATTGAAGCAAGAACGTCCGTATAGTGAGAGCAATAATCAAAAATATATAGCGGATATTAAAGCAGAACCGACACAGTTAGGATATCAAATACGCAATACCCGTAAAGTTAGAAGTGGAATAATTCGGGAACCCCTTACCCCTGACTATGTTTTGTTTGAATAAACAAGAAGCTTTTCAATGCGTGCTAAAGCTCTCAGAAAAACTGTTGAATTTGTAATGATCAATGTCATTGGCAGGCATACACCACCACCTAATGTAAGAGCCCATATAACTGTATTAAACGCATTTAAACGTTGTAAATATAAGTTCTTCTATGTAATTTGTACATAGATTTCCTAAGAAATGTAAATAAAGCCAATGTTAACTTAAAAAGCAAAATTCAGTGACACGAGGAAGTTAAGCACAAAAGTAGAAAAAAACGTAAAATCGTAAAGGACAGCTTACTATACACTTTACTATATGCATTAACAGTGTACATCAAAAATTCTCTTTAAGCTGAAACTTGCGTCTAAATGGAAAATTTCACTATATCTACTCATCCTTATAGTGCTGACGGATTCATTAAACTTTGTGGAGTCAATTCCTTTTACACGCGTTTACGTCGCCAAACTTTCCCATCGAACGCAACAACTGTTACTCGTAAAAAAGAGATTTAAATATCAGCGTGTAGCTATGTGTGGATAACAAATAAAGACAAAAAAATATATATATATATATAAAATATAACAAAATTATATAAAGTACTTGTCGTTATCATTGTATTTTTTCTAAATGCTTTGCATTTCTTTGCTTGCAAGTTGGATGCAGTAGATCTTTCTTCTTTCTCTTCTTTTAGAAAGATTCTATAAGTGCTTGTTATGTGTATGTTAAGTGTAATTTTCTTGGAATTGTCCTTAGATGGAAAGAGTGGGATTTTTTTTTTTTTTTTTGTTGGGTCAGTATTAAGAGTATAACGTTAGTGATTGCGTAGACAAAGTTAATGCACAATAATTACTAAAGAGAAAAACCGTTAACACGACGGAAGTCAAAAGTATCGAAATTATTTTTAAATGTCTACTTATCATCTTGATCTCTAATTTTTTTTAATGCATTTGCATGCATCATCTTACTTTAGATTGTCCCTCCCTCCACCGTTTCATATTACATAAGCGATTGGTAGCTATACACTTTATGCAATATCGCGTATTGAAAATTCGATCATACTCCATACACTCTCTTATATTCTCTCTTTTTACAATTGTCCCAATAAGGATTTATTTGGATTTGTTATACTCTGATTTATTATTTGAACAAGAATCAAGTTAGAATATAAAGGTTATGTCAGTATTATAGTGCGCGTGGATTGACAAAAATATTTTGCAAGATTTCCAATATGAAAATTATTGGAATATTTCTCTCTCTCTCTCTCTCAATTATTATAAGCATTGAAATGGAAGCACAAATGCTGCACAAGAAGAAATTGACACGAATCTAGCTATAACCCATTAAAAATAATATAAGTAAAAATTAAGTGCAAATTTTTTCAAATTTCGTGTCCATTTACGAGCAAACTGTGTCGCACGGTGTCCTTTCTCTTCTTTTCACGGTCGCTAGAATACTAGTATCAGCAAAAAAACAAAAAAAAAAAAACGGAAGTAAGATGTGAAAAGTTGAAATATTTATGCCATCACTTTCTAGGAGGAAGAGATACGAAAATATTATGCCATCTTCAAGCTTTACCGCATAGCATCATGCTATTAAATGGGATGCAAAGTCGGATCTATTCGTGCTACCATTATTTGAATATTCGCTTCGAGATATGCATTCCATTTATATAATTTCCTCATTTTGTTAATTTATGTTATATTGTCCTGTAATCTGGCTGTCTTTCTATCTTTCTTCTTTTTTATTTCATCTTAAATGGTTAATGTTAACATTTTATTTTATTTAATGTTTTCATTCATTGCTGTTTCCCTTCTCCATTTTTCTTCGTTATGAAAATTGCATTTCATCTCTCAAGGGAAGGCAGTTAGTCTATCTATATTTCTTTACCTTACTGACTGTTGGATATTTCTACTGCTACGCATGATGAACATATATATACACTCACACATGCTTTCGTGTAATATAATGGGTCATATTAAAAGTTTTTGCGGTTTTTTTTTGCAGTTTCGCGCTTGTTTTTGTAATCTGCTCTTTTCAAACTGCCATGCGGTTGATGTTTAGTGCTTTCCCTATTCTTGATAGCTTAGGTGCCGCTCTTGCTGGAATCGAACAAATCTCTCCTGGTTCCTTCGTTCACTCACAGCATTTTCACAGGCCACTTTACAAAATTTTTCGCCTTATTTTACCTTTTTTATAGGAAAAAAACATCACACGTAGCATATTTCGTCAGATCAAAGTAACTTTTCGCGCGAATAAAGAATTAGAAAACTATCTTCACAAAAAATGTAATCTTTCAAGCACATATTAGTTTAAGACGATCAGGTTAGTATTCTGTCTGCTACATCTCGGAAAACATTACGGATAGATTTATTTATAAAAACTTGGTGGCAACTGCAGTGTTGCCCCATGCCAAAGAAGATTAGTCACTGCTATGGAAATTTCAACAGGATGATGATCTGAAGCATTAATCTAATTTAGTGAAAGCGTGGCTTGAGGAGCATAATGGCCACGCCGCTCTTCCGGCTTCAATCCTATCGAGAACGTTCGTAGCAAACTAAAACCTCATGTTTCTGGTAGCAAGCAAAAAAAAAGTATTGTGAAAAAATATTCAAAAAGTATAGCATAATATTTTAGTAGGGATCTGCGATAACTAATTTCATTCATGGCTACAAAAATCGAGGCTGTCCTGTAAAAATGTTTACGTTTGCGTACAATATAATGCGTACTGTTCTTAAGTGTTTGTACCAATATCTTTTACTGTCCACCTGGAAAGCCGCGATATTTTTCAACTGGACTATAAAAAGCCATTTTTAAATACGTACATTTTCCTACTTTATAAAGAATTGATAAACATAGTATATAGTAGGGAAAAAAAGGAAAAGGATTCTTCTCACCAACATAAAACGAAATACATCTATTTTTCTGTCCACCTCTATATATATGTATATATATATATATATATATATATCATCATGAATGATTATATTTGTGTAAAATTATTCCTGAGTTAGTGGTTTGTTTGAGATACATTTAGCGAGCAGCACCCGCCACAATTCTCTACCATATTTTTCCCATCACTTCATTCTCTTTGTTCATATATTCCTAGCCTTTTTCCTGATGTTATTAAATAATTGATTGTAAAAACTCGGGCTATAAATTTCTAGTTGGTTAGTTATGCATACATAGAGTCTCTCATTCAATTAATCACATTTCGAAATGAAGTGAATTTTAAATAGATGCGAAGCCTAAATAAAATACAACATTTACCAGGAGTTTACCAGTGCGTCTAGATTCGGGTTTTCATGACAAAAAATCCCTGACATCCGGCGATGTAAACTAAATTCAACAATAAGCTCGATCGAGGATTAAATCGTTCGAAGTAATCGGTAGTTAAAAAGTTTCAATTTATGAGAAACCGGTAACATGCACTGCCCACATTTCGACCCCTATTTTCCAGGTTTCCATTATATACCCTTCAATATTATCGTTAATGCGGTGCGGCGGAAGAACGCATCAGTTATTCAAAAACTTTCTATTTTGACACTTAGTGGCACAGTCAAGTTGTCTCCTCCTGCGTTTGGTTTACCTGGAGACCAAATCGAGTAATGTATGAGATTTAATTTTCTTTTTTGTATTGTCTTTATTCATTTGAACACTCGGTAAATTACTTAAGAGTGATATAAAACGATGTTGATAGTGAGGGTAGGAAAATTGTAAATGATCCCAAAAGTAGGTTTCATGGACCTAATCATATTGCAATAGTCCTCTAGGCGCCATGGACGAGTTCAAAAAGCAATTGGCGGTAGTAAAAAATTTTAAAGCACAGTTCTATCATGCTTCCGTTAGGGAAGTTTTAAAAGTCGTTGAGTCAATTGTAAACTGCGTGCATCTAAAACTTAAACAAACTAAAAACAAAACCATGTTTCCCGAACTGGTTTCTCAAAAATTTTGGCTTGAGCTCACTTGGAAGTTCTCTAGCGAGCATTATGATATTTTTCGATAAATTGAAACTTGAATGGGTTTTTGACTTCTTTTCAAGCGATTAAAATAATATAAAACAAAAAATTTTCATATCATCGCCATCGATTTTTAAAGGAATTTTCGAAAAAGTCCCACGATACACTCCAGCACTTTTAGTTATATTTTCACAGTTCTAGGTGAAAAAAAAAAAAAAAACGAGGGAGATGGCCATCGCAACATTGTCATGCAATTTAAAATGTATACTTTTCTATATGGAAATCTAAATATTAATAAATCTTTTCTATACAACTTCCAATCCTATTTCCCTATATTAAGTAGGCGCAGAAGTAGCATTGACACCATTGATATCGCATTCGGTAAAGGGACTTTTTGATCATCATTTCCACGATTAGTATCCTTTGATACTGATACTGACATAGCAACAACAACATCGATAATTGTCTATTTTGTAGTCTTATAAAACATAAAATAAAATAAAGTAAAATGAAAAAAGGGATTATTATAGTCAACAGTATTCATCGAGCGTGTATATAACACGCTGAAATTTGTGGTATTGGTGCTAACGATAGTGTAACATACTAATGATCATATTTCAGAATATACTTTGAATTGCAGCATTTGTAAAGTCTTCGAGCAACTTGTAAAGCATTGTGTATTTGATTTCTTTGTTTCGTCAAGTGTTACATAATGGACTCTTATTTATATATTATATATAAACTATCCTAACTAACGGCCTCAGTAATGTTCGAAATACGGGCATTGATTTATACCCTACATCACTTGTAGAACATATATGTATATTGACTTTGGGCGGATGTGCGGGAAGTGTGGCCCGTAAAAGGGCTTGAAATATATCCACCTTTTTTATATCGATCTGTTTAAAGTCATCTTCCGAATCGATGTAAGTTTCTCCGCCCATCTTGTTTTCGAAATTAAGTCATAGTCCTCAACTACATATGTTGATCAAACTTATAGTCCCTAGTTATCCTTTGTAATTGTAAAAGTGGATGACTATCTTAATTATGTAGTCATATTGAATAATGATTTCATTCCGATTAAAAAACAATTGTAGTTTATAGATATTTGATCCATATTTACATTACATTACAACTGAAAGGACCAATCAAGCTAAAATATTCCTATTCTTAAGATAAATCTGCTATATCATCCGTCACGTCATAATATATTTATATGACCTTGATTCCGAATTTCAATTCAATGTTTGGACTCATGGTAGAAGTTAATGAAATAACAAAAACATATTAAAATTTTCAACAATTCGCGCTTGCATTTCACATTCGAAATCAAAATTAAGTTATGTTGCCATGGGGCAACAGAAAGAAAATGGAGTCGAAAAGTGTTTGTTTACTTATAAGTAGTTCAAACTATATGTTAAAACCCAATAATACGTATTTCGTTAAAGAAGAACTTTTTCGTGGACATAACTGCAACACATAGACTTATAGACTTACTTCGCTTTCACGGAAATATTCCAATATATCACGTTGATATTCTACTACTTCAAAGAAACGTTGACGATCATTACGAGGTAGTTGTAATTTCTTATTAGATAATGCCTCAGATATATCAGCAATCTCTCCAGAATTACTATCGTCCGTAAATAATTGAGAATTTATGACAGAACGGTCTACGGACATAGGTGATAAGATCTCAGATACTGACATTGGCGTAGTATCCAGCGTGTATTCATTTTCTTCACACTTCTGAACCAAAGAAGAATCGCTGCAGATACAAGAAAATGAGAAAACATTATATTAGGAAAAATGAAAAGAAAAATCAAAAAAAGTTTTATATATGCGGTCGATGCGATGCGCATTCATCTATCAAATCAAATGAAAATAAATTACCTTTTTTCCGCTAAAACGCGCTGTTGTTTCTTTTGTTGCTGCTTTTCTCCATAGAAATTTTCTTTTTCCACAACATCATGACTAGGTTCTATTGTAGCGGCAGCAGGATAATGTGGCGGCTGCTGCTTGTTCGTTACGGCAGTTGTATGCGTATCGATAATGGCATCGCTTTTATCCTCATACACAGAAAACGTTTTAAATTGTTCCATTGGTTCAACGATAGACTTTTTAACAGCCAAATTGGCTGTGTGACGATTACCGCCATATCCGGCATTTTCATCCTTTGCTTTAACATTACCCAACTCACGGAAGGCCTGTGTAAAAACGTCATCAATAAAATTAAGAGTCAGCATTTTAAGAGAGAATATAAAGCGAGAGAGTTTTTTTTTTTTTTTAAAGAAAGAGATGAAACATGGAATAGACACACACTTGCACGCAGGAAGCACCGAATTATTATCATTATCAACAGCAACGTCATATTAATTCTTAACCGTTTGAATTGCGGTTCGTATATTTTAATATCAAAAAGGCGGACACGGGGCAGGATCATGCCGCTGTTGATTTGATATAATATTCAGCAAATGCTTGTTGGCCACTTGTTAATTATAACCATTTTTTATTATTTTCTAAACACATAATTACGCATTTCGTTCCAAACTTTTAGCATATACATATCAGAAAGTTCTTCAGCATCACAAACGGTTAATCAATCAATGCTTATTGAACAATAACGAAGAAATTTGTACGTATGTTAAATGCTCTTGTACTTACGCACTGGTATGGTGCATACTACCTATATACACGTAATAGATGCAATTGCATGTACATGTGAATATGTATCGAACTAATTACTCATTTATATGAATGCTTTGACAAACATAACTCTTGTAGCATACATTCTTTTCAGTTGTCATTATTGCCATCCACCAAATGTGGTCTCGCAGACAAATTTTGTCAGTTTACTCAATTTTTTCGTACCGTTTATAAAGAAAGCAAGCAAAGTAAGAAACTGCAACTTCATTAGCCATCTGTTACAATGGTTGTCGTTAGTACGACAACACAGTTTTTGCTTTCATCATGTCCATAAGTGAGATGATGTTATCGTATGATGTTATTTTGTTTGTACCTCTCTTAGAGCTACCAGTCATATATAACTATCAACATATACATACATAGTGGTATGGCAAAAAATAATTATCAACTGGACATTTCCGACCCATATGAATATGTAATTTATTGCGGCAAAACTGTGAAGAAGCAGAAGAAAGTCGTCCTGCATTGAGAAGCCCCTCTCAAACTCATATTTTCCATTAAAATTCAAATATTCGTTGAAAACCCATTATATGAATTTTTGCTCGTTTTACTTTTTCGTTCTTCATCTTATATTTCGCTCTATCCAGGCAGATGCAATCTTAGCTGGCAATCAGGAAAGGCAGTTAGAAAAGTCGCACTTAATTCATATTAAAAGCGCCAAAGTGTGCATGTGCGAATTGGATAGTAAGCGCTCAAATCTGAGAAACACATATGAACGGTTTTTCTTTTCATTATTGTTTTCTCCCATACGAGAAACTTTGAAAAATTCAAATACAAAAGTAAAATGAATATTTCTCTGTTGAAATACGACATATCATTATTTTTAATATATATCTTTCCTGCGTCCCTTCCGGACCGTTCACCTCAATCCCCCAAAACATGGCTTATGAATTTTCCATTGTTTTTCATATAATCTGATATGTACTTTTTCATTTTCTCCTTGACATGGGAGGACGCTTTGCTTCGTAATGGAATTTTGAATTAGTTTTAAGCCAAAGATTCTCTGCAATTTTGTAAGTTGTTTCGCAATAGCGCCTCGAGACAATTTCAATAGAAATAATCGCTTCACTTGCCAGCTTGTACGCAAAGGGAAAAGAACTTGATTGGCATAAATACGAGATGGATAAAACAAACGATTTATTCAATGAGTTTTCTACAAGATTTGAAAATTTCCAAAATAATTCTAATGATCTCTCATAAGTAAGCCTATCATTTGCTTTTAATGCTCCCACATCCGGATGCACTCATCAACTTGTAAACTTGCAATCAAATTTATTATTAAGATATCAATTTACTGACCTAGGAGCGATATTGAAATTTTATGCTTCTTTAAATCCAAAAGACTTTGTCCAAAAATTCTGGATCATGCCCAAAAAAAAAAAAATTGGACACTCTGTAGATCAACTTGCTCTCGTGCGACTGAATATTTATTAATTAAACATAGAAGAGAGCAAAATCAGATCTAGCTATTCATGATTTACATCATAATTATGATGTACTACATGTATATTCCCAATTGAACCTGTCACACAGAGATTTGAGTAATATGCTTATTAGGCGGCTCATTTTATCGTTTGCTTGTTGTTTTATTAAAATATTCATTAAAAATTTCAATTTTTATCTATCTCGCCATCCCCCCCTGCCATGTGATGTGAAATCGGCCCCGTTGATAAAGCAAGTGCTCATCCCTGGCTTATGACATGAGGGATGTTTCTTTATTGAAAATCCTTTAATTGCCGCTACATCAATGATACCCTTTATAGAAATGATTGTGTTGACTCGTTATTTATTTGCCTAACGATGTGATTTCTCATACATTATCAAAGACATTAGTTTCATTTTGATAAGTGTATATATGTAGATACGTTACGTAAATTGTGATATATATATATTTCTTGGTGCTCCCATCGAAGTTAGAAAATTAGTATATTGCAGTTATTTGGCAAAGCGTCTCGTTTTCATGCTCCCTATTATATGTGTAGAAAAAGTGTTTCACGCTTTTTAATGCTTCTGCCTAAGATAAAATTGAATTGAGAAGAGATTCATGTATTTACGAGATTTGGGAAATTTTTAAAGGCATACACTGGTAGTGGTCGCCCAAATTAAAATTTCAATACGAATTCAAAGGTAATGACGACAACGCAACAGCTAACTTCGGACATAAATAAACATATTAAAAATTTTGAAACAAATGAAGCTGAGAAATTAAACAAATGGCTACTATTTCAATTAACTGGGCTTTTTTGAGCTCTGTAATTTACGTTTGTGTTAATAATAAAATTTATAATGAAATTGACAAAAGTCAAGCCATCAGCAGAGCAAGATTTTCAATAATATTCAAGATAATCAGCAAAACAATTCATAATCGATTTCATTAAAAATTATATTGAATGAAAACTATTATGTTAGGTGAGATGCTGTTACCCAAAAGTGGAACAAATAAAAACAAAAAAGAAAAAAAAAAAAAATTCAAACTTACACTATGTCGCCATTTTGTTAAATATGTGCATCTTTGCTTTGAGAGAGCCATGTAATTGGTTCATATACACATATGCATGTCAATAATTATAATCTTACGTCTGACGGCAAAACATAGCAATACTTAGTTTTTACAGACTAAAAATTCAATTTTGATGAAATTTATAAGCCAGAAGACTAGAACTTATTGCTTATCTGCATAACATATTAGTTGCATGTTATAGGTTGGTTTATCAGCGACTCGTACACATATAATGTAAAAAATATGAAAATATACATATATATGTATGCATCAGTTATATATATACATATATGTCTATTCCGTATAAGCACATCTTTTATTTATGCCAAAAACCCGCAAAATATTTGCGTTCATATAACTCGCTCGCGCATGAACATAGGAGAGAAGTAATTGAAAGAGAGTGAAAACTAGTTCAGCAGATACGAGCAGGCGCGCAATCAGTTTTCTAAATTCAATGCTTTGGCAACTCCTTTGTATAATTAAACAATCAAACATGCATATAAATTAAGAGAGGCAGAGAGACACAAAAAAAGTGAACAGCAGCTGAATAAGAATTAATCATAAATAAAAAGAAGTAATAAGGTTATTAAGCATGGCAACTATGAAGAATGAGGATGAGAGAGAAATGTAAATTATGTAGCAAAATATATATAGAAAGTAAAAAGTTGATGTCACTTTTGTTTGAAAATTATTGTAAAGAGACTGAAATTGTATGCAATTTTATGTTAGAAAAAACTACCACCGACGAATTGATAATTATCATTTAATTCACTTACCAGTTTATTGTTGGTGTTATTCGCTATGATTGTATTCCCACCACCGCCAGCGTTATTGTTACTATTGCTGATAACTACGCGAGCGTTGGGATTATTATTGAGCAAGGAGAAATTAGCTCGCCCTTGCTTGTTGGGTTGGTCTTTAAAAGGACCTCCTAGAGCACTGGCACCCAAAGGCTGTAGTACGTGTGACTTATTCGTGGTCACTAATTTTTCCTTCATTGCTTTATTGCGAGGATTTTCCTTCTCCGAATCTTGAGTAATATGATATATGGCCGCCATTATTAATATTTAACGAAGTATGGAGAACACAAGTAAAATATATGGGAAGTTTTTTCTATATTTTATATTTTATATATCTATTCTATATTTTTTTGATGAAAATTTTATTTATTTATTTCTAAAAATTATGTGAGAAAATGTAGACAAACTATTGTTAGGCAGTTTTTTGATGTGCTTTATGATGTATAGAGCAAGGCAAGAAATACAAAAGAAAACTGAGTTACTTAGTTTACAAATTAAGTCGTCATTTACAATACTCTCATCTTTAATTCAACTCTTGTACATTGGGCGATTTTTGAAAGGTCAACTTTTTTCTGCTTTCTCCCTTTACTTCATATTCCATTATTCATTAGTCTTTCATATTTTTTTCTCCCTTTGTTTTGACTGTTTGAATCAAATTCCGCTTTTTACCTTAAGAAATTATCCTTTAGAGCGGATATTGATATGGAAAATATGTATAAACACGACTTACTTGCGTGAAACGACTCATGCCTATACATATATCGCGACGACAAACAAATTTAAACCTAAACTCATACATACGCGCCCGCACTCTTGCTTTTAGCAAATGATACTATTATAAATTTTTCACGGCACTTTGACACTACTCTTTTGTTTTCTTCTGTTATAAATTTATTTCATATTTTTTATTATTTACAGTTGTACCATTTTTTAGCAATAAGTGTTTTTTTAACTTTTGTTTTTCTTTTTTAACATTATTTCTTATTCAGCCAATGTGCCGCTACCTCAACTCACGTCAGTGTACTCTCCTCGCCGCCGTTATGTACGCGATTGATTTGTGGTGATCACAGCTTTTGTAAGCAAGTTTGTTCAAATTTGTGCGCGGCTGCATATAGGGTTGCTAACGCATCTCGCTAACTTTCTCAAGTGGTGAATTTCTGAATAGATATTTATATGAAAATAATATGAGGGGTGGTCATGTATCTGAAAGTTAGCTCACGTTTTCGTGTTTCGTTTAGTTTGGGATCGCACAATCGGGATAAACATAATATACAAACTTGAAAAGTTTTTTTGCGTTTCTATCAAAATTAAAAAGACAACTCAATTCAACTCTCATATAAACTTAATCTAATAAACGACCTTTAAAGCATCATCGAAACCCGAATATAAATGCGGCGCAGTACATAAACTTTTTTTTTCTTTTTAAATTGCATACGAAATCTTTTGCTGAATAGTGTAAAAGTATAATTTGAAATATGTTATATAATTGCGTTATCTCGTTTGATGCACGCTATTTTTGTGTATTAGTAGTAGTCTGGACGAAAGTCAATGAAAAACTTTTTTTCTTATTAATTCTTTTTCTATGCTCGCCATCGAATATTTCAAACCAACTCTTGTAATCGAAATAGTACTAAACCTTGTCAACGGAAATATTTGTTGTCTCTACATTTTATAAGTTTTTATTAAAATATAATTACATCATTAAGCCATCAAATTTCATGTTTTAAATTACGAGACAAAATAGCTTAGGGGGTCCTCTTGCAATGCTTAGGGAAAGAGAGAGAGAGAGAGATACAAGAGCCAGTGACTCTTGACCGTCTATGCGTTCTTACTTGGAGAGTCTCTTTATTGTAGCATCATTTGGTTCCGTTATCTTTTTGGGAACTTTTATTGACATATATACGTTTGGTCGATAGCTTTCATTTTTAACCATAAAAGTTAATATGAGCTTTCCATGAATTCAACAATAAATAGATGACTAAAGAAACAAAAAAAAGGACACGTTCAACATCAGGTAATGTATAAATAAACTTAAAATTTGCTACAGACGTTTGACGCAGCTGTTCGAAAATACGGAGATAAAATTATTTTTGTTGAATTATTTGAACGAGTGGATGTAAAAAATTCTTCGCGAATGAATAAAATGTTCTTATTTGGAAATACATTACATTATATGCTTTGTTTTATTGTTGTTATACTTTGCCGATACTTTCCTCCTTTAGAAGAACAGCTAGAAAATGCAGAACTCTAAAAAGTAAGTAAAAAATGTCCGACTTTGATAATTCATATGTGTTGCACAAACGATTGCTTATTTACAATAAAAAAAGGGGACAACGGAAAGAAAGTCCGATTGATCGCTTTCCATTCTGAATATAAACATCTTGGAAAGGTCATTAGAAATTTACTTATGTTTCTATTAAAAAATGTAAGTCAATTGGTAAATATTAATTATGTAAGCTTCGCAAGTACATAAATATTGAAAAAAGTTTTCATGATTAGGCGTAAAATAACATTTAGCGCATCTGCCTGAGTGGCCGAGTAGGCAAGAGTCTCGACTAGCCACTCAATGGTCGTGGGTTCAAATCTTAAGTGCGGTAGAGTTTTTAATAATGCCGAAAGCGTTAGAATGCTGGTGCTTTAAGATTTTAGTCTTAGAATTTATTCTTCGGCTAAATTTATAATAATAATAACATTTAGCGCAAAATTTAAATGAAAATGTCTAAATTAGACAACACACGGCTTGCGTTATGCGTGCCGCACACCTACACGCAACGCAATAACACAAACCCAGGTGCGTGCGTAACCAAGACAAAATCATATGGCTAGGGTTTATTGACATAAACGTTACTTAAATGCAAAATTAATAAAACGACAGGTTGCTTTATAAAATGATTTTTTTTAAACAAAATATAACGAAAAGAATTTGTTTCCATTTAGAAATATATACCAATACAGATTAATTTAAATAATTTCTTGCTTTTTTTATACCCTAGATCATTTGTAAAACGGGGTATTCTAATTTTGTGCGGACATGTACAACACCAAGAAGAGCTTAACATAGATCCCCTTTTGATTATATGGATCGATCAAGAAAATGATGATCTAAGCTTGTTTAGCTATCTGTCCGCCTCATCTCTGTCCATATATTTTTATATCCAATCAACAGGTCGCAATTTTTGAGATATTTTGATGAAAATTGAACGTTATTGAAAATGGCTTGGATCGGACCACTTTGGCACATTAGGCCTTCTTTTGAACGCTTTGTCGTATGATCGTTCTTCATATGGTAAACAAGCATAATTTTCATTATTTCATGTTGAAAATTGGATCATACTAGCAAATTGGCAGAGAAGTTAAACGTACCGAATTTTGACCGCTTAGGTTTATTTTTTGGTATCCAACGTATATCAGAATATTTAAGAATTTATATGCCGAAAATCGCAAATTGTTAATGTACTATGATACAAATTTTGTTCATGGTAATAACTTGACATAAAAATTAAATGCACCAAATCTGAACCATCTCTATTTCTTGGACATCACTCCATATAAGATTTCTCATGAATGAGCAGCCCTTCAGAAAGAGGTTTAATTTCTAGTATTTTATGGTAAAAATTTGTCCATAGAAATCATTAAGCCATTCATGAAATTAAAAATTTTTTATTTAATTTACACAATTCAATGTACAAAATTTTGATCGCGTCATGTGTTGTCTCAGGCATTCACGAATATGCGGGCTTTCATGAAAATTATGCATTTGCGTAAAAATAACGTGTAATTTTCGGTGCATTTTCACTGAAACGTATGAGCCACTGTATTAAGCGAAGTGGTGCGGAGTATTTAATATCCGAGCTTGCCCGGCTATGAGGTCCTCACTTGTTACTTGCGCGAATCATATCATTCTGTTTTTATAAATACCTGACCATTGGGCCTGCCTAAAACAATGCACGAACAAGTTTTAAGCATATTCCAAAAATTTATATTCAAAAATCCAATGCAACGCAAGCTATATGTTTTCTACCTGTAAATACGTAAACTCAATGTTATTTTGACAGTTCACAAGCGACGCACAACGCATAATGCAAGCATTGTTTAATTCCGGGAAGAGAAAAAAATGTCTATATCACAATGATGTTACTTTTTTAACTTTGTCGAATCTTTACGAAAGTTCGTGGAAGGCGGCAAATCATATATAAATAAAAAATAGAAAAAACAAGATAGAGGCAAGATAACACAATGAAGCTTCGCTTATATTCCCAAGTCTGGGGGAAACATTCAATTTGTAAATTTTATAAGTTGTGCGAGTATTTATGTTCATAATATATGCCTCCTCCAGTCCCGGGTATATAAGTGCAGTTTTATTGCGTCAGTCGCCGGAATGCACAAGAAGAAATGAGAACCGTTTCTTTTAATATAAATGATTATTTGTCATATTTATGCTTATTTTGTATTAATTAAAATTTTTTTCATATTAAATGATTTACAATTTTTGTTTTTGTCTATAGACTATACATCATTTTATGAGAAATAAAAAAAGAAGCAATAAAGTCAGTCTATTTGCAGGTTTGAATGTGTGTGTCAAATCCTTTGGTTAAAGTATAAATGGTAATTTTCAAATTGTGAAACAATTAATACGAACAAAGGTTTTCATGGCCGAGCAAATATAAAGTAAACAGTGGTCTTATCCAATATCTTTTCATAACCTTAGTTTTTAAGATGACGTATTGAATATATAATAATGCCGGTTATTTGGTTAGTTAATGGAAATCCGTCTTTTCTTTTCCGTCGCCTTTTTTAATGCTTAACAAGCGATGCGGACTTAACACACAGCAAAAGAACACTTTCTTGTTACGATTGATTAATTGGTTATGTGTAAAGTAAGTGACTCATACAAAAATTGGTGTGCATAAGTCAACCGATCTAAACACAATGAAACTTGACTTTCATTCCCACAAATTAAGTGAATAAGTAGTTGACATAATAAAAGCCGAGTTTGCTTGCCTTACGTTATCATTTTATGAACAAATCTATGTAAATGTAAACCGCTAACATATGGTTGAGCAGCATAAGGTAAGAAATAAACGTAAAAAATTAGAAAAGAGGGATTAATATAAAAACAAATAAGATTTTGGAAATTGATTAATGAAATTGAAATCTTAGAAAATGAGTTGAAGAAAAAACATGTGGATATTGGTTTTAATGGCGGAGTTACGCAAAGCAACAAAACTGCTTAAACGTAGGGGTACAAAGAGAAGATGTTAGGTAAGTTCGCTTTTTCAACGTTGCGACACTGAAGGATTCTTTGCACTAACATTCCAATGGATAGGTTTACAACGATTCTGAAAAATTTCAACGATGAATACGCAAAGTTTCGATTTATTACCTGTAATGATCGGCAGGTAACTTAATATCGGCTAACTATTTCCTTTACTTGTGTAAGTAAGTATCAGCAAATGAATTGTGGTTTCTTAGATATTTGGCGCACGGTGATAGTATACAGAATCTCTCCGTTCAATTTAAAATGGCCTTTTCAACTGTGCGCAAGATCGTTTACGAAGCATAAGAAATGATAGGGAGCAATTTAACAGCTGCATGCTCATGGATGGAAGAAAATGCCTAAGGATTTCAATAACATGTTGGCCCTCCCTCATCGCGTCGGTGCAATGGCTGGCAAATATATAAGTGTTGATTGTCTCCGAAAATCGCGAGCTCGCTTTGACAATCATTAAAGAGAATGTCTCCCGTATCCTGGGGGACTGCTGTCTCAGGGTAAACAAACTATCAACCCTCGTCTTTCACGAGTAAGGCAGGTCATAGCGAGCGCATTCCTACCCTCGGTTTGAAGTCTTCATAAAACTCCTGTATATAAATTTTGAAATTTCCTAAAATGTTGTAATCCTTAC